AAAATCATGGCATGTCCCCATGTCATATCAAGAACGTAAAGAGCAGAAGGGTAAGGAGACTTCCCTAAGACTCAATCAGAGTCGGAGACTGTGCTGGGGTCGACATGGCAAGCTCTCCCCAAAGCACAGAACCAGGCCATAAACCTGTTCTCAGACCGAGCCTGCCTCTGAGACATGGCATCCATCCGTGTGTGTAGGCCATCCACTGAGGTGCGGAGATCCGCGACCTCTTCCTCCATGGAACGCAGCATAGGCCTGGTAGACTGAGATCTGGCAAAGCCTGCCCCAGTATGGGGGTGCCGAGAGGGTCCGGCACTGTCATGAGATCTCCTGGACGGTGCAAGAGGAACCAGGTCATCAGCCTCATCATCTAGCACAATTGTTGTACATGTGCCCCTGCCCACTCTAATGCGTGAAGCTCGGAATGATGCTTCAGGTGCCAATGCTCCATCAGCAGGATTAGTGGGGACCCTCCTCCGCAAGCACAGTGCAGTTACCATGGAAGGGAAGTAAAATCCCTTTGACAACAGCGGTCCCCGCAGGACTATTTCGTCACCAATTACCTGTGCTGCATCAAAATCCTTCTTCGCCACAAAGCACCAAGTCAATAGGGCTTTGTTGAAGTTCAAGTCTGTGGTGTTGCTGGAGGGCATGAACCGGCTGCAGATGATAGTCAATCAACACTTAGCCAAGTGCGTGAATGAGTTGGAGTTCAGGGTGATGTGGTCCTTGATCCAGGTTGGTCGCCCACCAGCACAAACTACATCAGTCATAAATTCCCACGTGACACCTGGTCTGTCGTGGTAGTAGTCAATATCGCCCGTGAACCGGGGTAGCCTCAATACCTAGCGGATAGTTTCAATTGAGACATCTACCCCTGTGCCTCGCATAGTCACCTCCCGCAGCATATGTGTTGGGTAGTTCGCGTAGAACTCCCTAACCATCATCCAGTTCACTGGGCCGGGGTCATCAAAGAGGAATTTCATTTCTCGCCTTCGAATTTCTTCATACATTTCCTCATGTTCCACGCGGAGGTCTGTCCAGTCAATTTGCAACTCATGAATGAAGTTCTTACCAGCCTTGGCATTAAAATCGTCCTATGCTCGTTTCGATTCAAACCTGGACTCATCATATGTCGGTTGTTGGGATGTGCCCGCCCCTCTCTTTTGCTTTTTATGGGCCATAATACCTGCAATGAGTCAGGAAAATTCATAACCATCAAATTCATCCTAATTAGTGTCCGTCAGATGGGTACTCCGACTTCGCCACCCGATGGCACCAAAACACCATCCCCATTGAGTTCTTCTTGGCAGACTAGCCACACAAGCAAGGTAGGTAAGGTTACAATCTTCACAGAGGCCTCACAACAGAACTACGTACAACATTCGGCCTACAGCACCTCACACTACTCCTGCACATATTATCAAACAGTGACAATACCCCCAATCACCAAGTATAACACCCCCTAATTAGGAGTGAGTATAACCCACCCCATAATATCACAAAAACTCCAATATTTCGACCCACATGGTGCATAATACAACTACACCCCAAAAAATGATTTCTAGGCTAAAACACCATGAAGGCCCACACACTATGACACCAAACAATTTCACAACAGTACCATACAATAATAAAAACCATGAAAGAAAGCAAAAATTGACAAAAGTTATACTAACCCTACCTAGGGTTAAACTAAATACAATTATGCTAAATTATACTAAGTTAGAAGATGAAATAGAGAGAGAGAAAGAGCAACTTACTTGTTTGGTTGAGGGAAAGTGGATGAAGAAGGTGGATAGTAGGGGAGGATGATAATGGAGTGATGTGAAGATGAGAAGAGAAGAGAGAAGATAGAGAGAAGTGGGAGAGAAATTAGAGAGAAGGGAGTGGGGGAGGGGTGTTTTGCTGAATCTGGGCGAATTGGGGGGGTTTAGTGGTAGGTGGGGGGTATTTTGGGTAAAAGGTGAAAAGAGAAAAAATTTAAAACGAAAAACTAACCTGGACCCCGTCTGCGTCTGCCGCGGTCGCGGTAGGACCGCGGTAGACCAAGTTCAGAGGGTCTCCTTGGCCGCGGTTGTACCGCGATCGTGGTGTAACCGCGATGGCCTGGGTTCAGAGAAGGGTCAGTACTGCAGTTTGACCGCGGTCTGACTGCGTCTCTGATTCTGACGTTTTTTTAGGGAGAGTTACACTTACAACAATTTCATGGGTTGCCTCCCATGCAGCACCTGATTTAACGTCGCGGCACGACCCAGATGAATGCAGTTAAAGCTCGCTCGACCTCCCCGGTTCAGTCAACTGCAGTTGAGACCCTTCCTTGGGCTCGCTCATACCCACATACAACTTCAATCTCTGACCATTGACTCTAAATGTACGAGAGTCATTCTCAGTGGCAACTTCAACTGCTCCTGACGGGAAACTTCAACTACTCGAAATGGTCCAGACCATCATGACTTCAGCTTACCCGGGAACAACCTTAGTCTTGAGTTGTATAGCAATATTATGTTCCCAGGTTTGAAGTTCCGCTCAACGATGTTCTGATCGTGTAGCCTCTTTATTCTCTCTTTGTACAGCCTTGTGCTCTCAAAAGCAAGATACCGGAACTCCTTAAGCTCATGCAGTTCTGTGACCCTTGACGTGCCTGCAGCTTCTATGTCTAAATTTAGTTGTTTCAGTGCCCACCACGCTCTTTGCTCAAGTTGTACAGGTAGGTGACAGGCCTTCCCAAACACTAACTTGTATGGTGACATACCAATTAGTGTCTTGAAAGCTGTCCTGTAGGCCCAAAGTGCATCATCTAACTTCCTCGCCCAATCAGTTCTCATAGCGTTCACAGTTTTCGTTAACACACTCTTGATTTCCCTGTTGGATACCTCAACCTATCCACTAGTCTGCGGGTGGTAAGGAGTAGCCACCTTGTGGCGCATATCGTATTTTGTAAGCAACTTCTCGAAGGCTCTATTGCAGAAGTGAGTGCCTCCGTCGCTGATAATCGCTCGTGGTGTCCCGAAGCGGGTGAATATGTTCTTCTTTAGAAACCCCACCACCACTTTCGCATCGTTGGTGGGCAATGCTACAGCTTCCACCCACTTGGACATATAGTCTACGGCAACAAGGATGTACTTATTACCATAAGAGCTGACGAAGGGACCCATGAAATCAATCCCCCAGACGTCGAACACTTCTATCTCCTGAATTGGGTTCATGGGCATCTCGTGGCGCCGGGAAATGTTCCCGGTGCGTTGACATTCATTACAACCCTTCACCCATGAGTGGGCATCTTTAAACACAGTCGGCCAGAAAAATCCGGCCTCTAGCACCTTTGCTGCTGTCCTGATCCCTCCAAAGTGTCCACCATAAGCCGATGCATGACAAGCCTGCAAAATAGAAGATTGTTCTATCTCGGAGGCGCATCTCCGGATCATGTTATCCAGGCATATTCTAAAGAGATACGACTCATCCCAATAGTACAAGCGGCTTTCACGAAAAAATCGCTTCCTCTGGACCGATGAAAGGTCGTGAGGAACTATACCACTGGCCAGGTAATTAGCCAAGTCCGCATACCATGGCGCTTCCTGATGAGTGATGGCGAGCAGTTGCTCATCTGGAAAAGTTTCCAGAATTTCCTTAACTTCAATTGCATTTTCAGCTCCCTCAAGTCGTGATAGGTGATCAACGACTTGATTCTCAGTGCCTTTGCGGTCACGTATTTCAAGATCGAACTCTTGCAGTAGCAACACCCAACGAATCAGGCATGGCTTAGAGTCTTTCTTTTCTATTACGTACCTGAGAGCAGCATGGTCAGTGTATACAATTACCTTTGATCCTATCAGGTAGGGCCGGAACTTGTCGAATGCGAACACCACAGCTAGCATCTCCTTTTCAGTCACCGTATAGTTCAATTGAGCTCCACTCAGCGTTCGACTGGCATAGTAGATTGGGTGCATCAATTTGTCCTTCCGCTGGCCCAGCACTGCCCCCACTGCGTAGTCACTAGCGTCACACATTAGTTCGAACGGTTGCTCCCAGTTGGGGGCAACAATGATGGGTGTTGTGACCAGCTTCTGCTTCAACTCCTCAAAAGCTACCCTGCAATCATCAGAAAACACAAACGGGTGATCTTTCTCTAATAACTTACAGAGAGGGTTGGTGATTTTGGAAAAGTCTTTTATGAACCGCCGGTAGAAACCGGCATGTCCAAGAAAACTTCTGATTGCTTTGACCGAAGTTGGTGGAGGCAGCTTTGCTATTACATCAACCTTTGCTCGATCTACTTCTATTCCCTTGCTTGACACCCGGTGCCCCAAGACTATGCCTTCTTGTACCATGAAATGGCACTTCTCCCAGTTCAGCACCAGATTAGTCTCGATGCACCATTTCAGCACACGCGTCAAATTCACCAGGCACTCATCAAATGAACTCCCCACCACTGAGAAGTCATCCATGAACACCTCCATTATATCCTCAACCATGTCAGTGAATATGGCCATCATGCACCGTTGGAATGTGGCAGGTGCATTGCATAGGCCAAAGGACATCTTCCTAAAGGCATAAATGCCATAAGGGCATGTGAAGGAGGTCTTCTCTCAGTCCTCAGGTGCAATGGAAATCTGATTGTACCCTGAGTACCCATCCAGAAAACAAAAGTGTGACCTCCCTTCCAATCTATCCAGCATTTGATCAATGAAGGGAAGTGGGAAGTGGTCTTTCCGGGTGGCTAGATTCAACTTTTGATAATCCATGCAAATTCTCCAGCTTGTGACGGCTCTCGTTGAGATTAGTTCATTGTTGTCATTCTTCACAACCGTCATGCCACCCTTATTAGGCACACATTGAACTGGGCTCACCTAGTTGCTGTCAGAGATTGGGAAAATAATTCCCGCATCTAACCACTTTATCACCTCCTTCTTCACCACTTCCTTCATATTTAGATTCAGCCTCCTCTAATGTTCCATGGAAGGTTTGTGCCCTTCTTCCAGCAGAATTTTATGCATGCATTAAGCGGGGTTGATCCCCTTGATGTCTGCCATAGTCCACTCAATGGCAGATTTGCACTCCTTCAATACCTGTAGAAGCTGTTGGACCTGTACATCTAACAAACCAGATGAGATAATAACAGGTAGAGTGGAGTCGGGTCCCAGAAATTCATACCTGAGGTGGGTTGGTAGTGGCTTTAGTTCCAGCTTCGGTGGTTCTTCAATGGATGGCTTAGCTGGAGGAGTTTCTCTCTTTCCTAAGTGTAGAGGATCGAACTCTAGTTCTCTATCCCAAAACCCTCGACCTTCCAATGCCAACACCCATTCTGCCAAGTCCTCACCGTTCACTTCCTCCAAATTCGTCAAACATGCAGCGAGGGGATCCTCAATCGTCAACACTTCATCATCACACTGTACGATTACATCCACGACATCAATAAGAGAGCAATTTGCGAACTCACTTGGGTGCCTCATATATTTCTGCACATTGAATATGATCTCTTCGTCATTGAGCCTCATCTTAAGCTCCCCGGTCTCACAATCAATAAGAGCTCTCCCTGTGGCCAAGAAAGGTCTTCCTAAGATTATAGGAATTTCTTCATCCACCTTGCAATCCAATATTACAAAATCTGCAGAGAACACGAATTTCCCCACCTGAATAAGTACATCATCCAGGATCCCAAATGGACGCTTCACAGTCCTGTCAGCCAGCTGCAGCAACATAGAGGTGAGTCTAGCTCTCCCAATGCCCAACCTCTTGTAAATGACCAGGGGCATAAGATTAATGCTGGCCCCTAAATCACAGAGTGCTTTCGTAAAAGCAAAGTTTCCAATTGTACATGGAATAGTAAAACTCCCTGGATCAGAGAGCTTTTCAGCAACAGGTCTAGTTACCACTGCACTGCACGTCTGAGTAAGTGTCACCGTAGCCAAGTCTTGGAAATCAAATTTCCGGGACATTAAGTCTTTCATCATTTTTGCGTATCCAGGCATATCCTTTAAGACTTCAATCAATGGAATATTTACCTGAATTTGCTTGAGCATCTCAAAGAACTTTTTGTACTACTCATTCTTTTGATGCTTGGCTAACCTCTGTGGAAATGGTGGAGGAGGTCTTTTCTTCCCAATCACTTGGGACTTTTCTTCCTCGGCTACTATCTCCACTACCGGCTCTTCAACCGCTTCAGCAACTTTCTCGGTCTCCTGCAGAGTATTCTTTTCTTCCTGAGCAGGCTGGACTGTCACATCTGTCAACCTTGTGGATTCATCCAGCTCAATGGGTACCTGAATGAGTGTCTCAGCCTGTATATTGTCACGAGCTCTCTCTTGCTCTTCGTCGAGATCCCTACCGATACGGAGACTCACCGCCATCAGCTGCTTCGGGCCCTGATCTTTAGGATTGATTTGGGTATCTGCAGGTAGCATCCCTTGAGGACGATTGTTCAGAGACATTGAAATTTGGCCCACTTGCACTTCAATATTTTTGATAGTTGCGTCATGTGCATCTACTCTCTC